GGGCCCCCCCCCCCCCCCCCCCCCCACCTTACGCTCACGATACCCCGCTTTCCTTGCCGCAGTGGTTACTGTGTAGTCTGTGCCACGTAAGATCGAATGGGCGCCCCCTCGCCTTCTATCTGGTACAAGGCTGCTCAAGCGGCAGTACCGATGCAAGTCAAGAGGAAGCCGCGCCCATTTGCCCCCCTTCCAGGGACCTTGATTCTACCAGCTGGCACTGACGTCTTCTCATTGGTCAACCGGTTCGATCGGTCGGTGCAAATAACAACTTTTTCACTCTCTCCCGGCGTTCACGCCCTTTCTGTCACATGTACCACAATCTCGGTCCTTACATGGCGGTAAAAGAGAGAACCGGTTGGCTCTAGTGCAGCAGGGTTGTGAGGCGAGAGGCGAGCGCCGCGGCAACGTGTGTGTCGAATAGTCTTTTCGAACCGAGAGAGTGTAGAGGTGTACTCGACATGTGTACCTCTGGAGAATTTTGTCCCAAACCTACAACCAGCCGACGATTGCCAGGATATGACAGCGAACGCCCACACCAGACCAACCACCGCTTTCACAGAAGAACCGCCTTTCTTTGCATGGCGTGTCTACGGTTGGTTAACGTTCCCTTGTTGCGTCATTTTTTGGAACACAAGCCGGCAGCCGACATTACTTGAGAATGCTTCCTGGAACAATGGAGTCATCACAGATTGACCATAGCTTATTTGCGCGCATCAAATCTATCTGCCGTGTTGCACTAATAAAATGTTCACACGGCATGCATGTTTGGGCAAGACGTTGGAGAATGGCCTTCGCTGTTACTTTGTAGTGGTCTTTTTAATGGGGATCTTTCGCCCATCTAGCACTCCCAATTTCGAGGTTTCCTTGAACCCGCCAAAGAGACGGGACTAACAACCCATTCCTCTTTGAATCTGCGAAGAAATGCAGATGGTAACCTACTTGGACTAGCTCCTGTCCTCCCCATATCCCCGTTTTTTTTCCCAACAATTTTTTTCAGACTTTTAAAGCGCAACGATCGACTTTCCGTTTTCAAGGAGGTACAAGGAAAAATGCAGCACACTACTCGCACTAAAAGCGCCTCATCAAAATCCACACTTTTTTTACACGCACGCACATGCAGGGACGGACACGTTCGATCGCCAACCAAGATGGGGGTCTCTTCATTTGAGACTAGACGTCTTTCTTCCATGGCGGTTCACTTGCCTTGGATATTCCCGACCCCCCCAAGTTGACCCCCCCCCCCCCCCGGGCCCTTTTTCCCCCCCCCCCCCCTTTCCCCTGGGCCCCGGGGGAATTTCTTGGGGAAAGAAGGCCCCACCAGGTAGGAGAACTACCGGAAATTTTTTGGGGGGGGAAAAAAAGGGGGAAAAAAACCCAAACGGCGGTGGAAAAACCAGGCAGGGGTCCCCCCCCCCGGGAACCCCCCGGAAAAGGGGGGAGAAAACCGGGCAAAGAACCCTGGGGCCAGGCGGGGCAACTCTGGGGGGGGAAATTTTAAAAAAAGGGAAACACAACCCCCCCGGGGGAAAAAGGGCGGGGAAAAGGGGGGGGGCCCGGCTTTTTCGGCCCCCAAGCCCCGGGGAGCCGGGGGGTTTTGGGTGGCCCCCCCTTTTGTAAAACCCAAAACCCAATTTCC